GAATTAATTTGATTTCAAAGTGAATATTAGATATCGAATAAGAAATCAATACTATAATAGAACAAGAATTAGCACAAACACCTTCTTTCGCAAAACAAAAAATATTATATCGGTCATCTTATTTAACGAACGGACTATTAAGAAATCTTGATAGTTAAAATTATGTAAATATGAAAAATTATTGTATATTTTTTTCTTTTTTTTTTTCTTTTAATGGAGTTGTCAATTATCGATACCTAAGATATGGGGAAATTGACTTGACCTAAAGAAAAAAAAAATAACTTAATTTTGTTTTATTCAAAGAAAAAAGGACTAAAAATAGGGGTCTCAAGTCATATTAAGATTGACGATGAAGTCTAAACAATTCATATTAAGATTGATGAACCAATTAGAATGGCTGAATTGGTTTGGAAGGTGGTTATTCACACGGATTCGGGATCAATCTCCCTCAATGCCTTATGAATCGAGTCTGTCACATATGGCTTGCCTAGTGTAGTTTGCAAGCTATTACACAGTGAAAACTTACCCAATGCGCACACGATACTCACCCGATGGGTTATCCGAGATCCAAAAAAAAAAAACCATATAATGGTCTAATTACAAGTCAATGACTGATTGATTATTATGTCAAAATTACAAGTCTCTATCACTTATAGGATATTCACAAGCACACTCCATATAATGCTTGTCAATTTATTTTTTCATAATAAGAAAACGACAATCTATGATCACTTACCATTTACATAAAAGAAAATATTTTAAATATATATTATTATTTTCAAAACTACGATTAATAATATTGTTTTAATACTAATGAAACAATATTTTAAAATTACAATTACTATAATTGATGATCTCACATAGTATTTTAGTTGAGACTAGAATTTTTGGTTTTATGTGACATCAAAGATATTTTATTTTTTTAATGTTTTTTAGCCTTAGTTCTTTGTGTAATGCACTAAATAACAACTAACATGAGATAAGATATACAGCTGCATAATAAAATCTGAGGAAGTATATGTGGACGTAAAATTAAAGAGATACATATAGTAAATAATGACTAATTTTTATAAAAAAAATATATAACAAGAAAATTGTATTTGCTTTGTGGAATGTCAATGTGGTCCAAAAAAAAAAAAGTGGAACCAAAATATAATTTGGGGATTGTATATTTTTTACTGGATGAAGTCTACAATGATATCGAAGAAAAATACAAAGAAAAAAAAATAAATTCTTGTAGGGAACGTATAGAAACCCCCGACTTATTTATTAGTATACTCATTTTTTTCCTTCTAATGATCGAGAAGTTCGTCTAGGGTCGATAAAAAACATGCACAACTTTTAAAATTCAAGAATAACAAATTGACTTCTCTATATAATAATATATCTTTCTTATTACTTGAAAAAGTAGTATTTCTTTTGTCAGAAGTGATTTTCAAAAAGCAATTTTGCGAAGTAGTTTGTATTTAGTTAATTAATTTGAAAAATACATTTATAGATATTAAAGTGGCAATTTATATCTAACCAATATTCTAAAAGTGTTTGTTTAAAAAAAAATATTTTTTTCATTTTTTAGAAAATCAATTTTTTCTATTACTCAAAGCCATTTATTTTTCCCTAAAAATTTGATCTCAATTTTTAGCTTTCCAAATAAATAATTAACGGTTCGAAACATTGACCTAACGATATTTATTTGTATTACTTTTTTTTCTTATATTATTTGGTTATGAAAGTTATGTTTTTATACTCATTCGAATTTAGAATATTTTATTTGCACATGGAATGTTACGTTGTCTTAAGTTGATTGGAGGTCCCACTAAGCTATTTGTATTAGATGTTTTTTTTTCTATATAATATAAATATAAATATATCAAGCAGCTTTTTCCCAAAAAAATATTTGTTTGACTGAAATTAGAAAGAAAAAAAAGATAACGAACTTTTTGGCGTCATGATAAACAATTAAGGTAATTATGAAAAAGAAATGATTAAAATATCCAAAAATGTTGAAAATAGTCCATTTAAACGGTTTATTAAATTCATGGAAATGTAAGACTAAAATGGCAATATTTAAGAAAAATCATGCATGAAAATGGCCGCAACGGCTAGAGATCGATTTTTCTGTCAATATCTTCTCGACTAAATTAATTTCGTGGCATCAAATATATCTAGGTATATTTATATTTTTTATGTGGTTTGTAAATTATTATACAAGAGTATGTTTATTCAGTGTGCATTCAAAGAATAGTGATTGTCGATTTTCCGCGGAACCAAAGAATATGGCTGTCAAAAAAATAATTTAATTAGTGGTATGTCAATTCAATTTTATTTGACTTTGTGATCATGTTTTTCAGTTGCTTACAACTATTGAACCACTAAACCTTAATCATGTACAAAAGTGTTGTGCAAGTTTTCATAATTCCACTTGTAAATTAATGTCCATAATTTAGGGATACGTGTTAAATTAAATCACCTAGCAAAGTTAAAATTAATTATAGTTCATCCGTTTGTTGACAAACTATAAAATTAGTTTAAAAAATTAAATTGTTGTTCGCCCAAAATTGGACGAACCCCTAAAAGATAGATAATTACAATTTGAGAAGACAGATGTTAATAATGTAAGTGATAATTCGCCAATTTTTAGGCAAAATGTTTGTTTTGATGTATGTTTTTAGAGAATGTATGTTTTGATACGTTGTATCAAAATAATTGCTCTTTTCGAATTGGACTCATCTATCGAAATTTAAGGCTAAGTTTTACCCCATAAGCTATTTCGTAAAATTTATTTAACTTAAAAGAGTGACACTAAAATAACCTATTTTAGTGTGAAAGGAGAATAATTGAATCTTCGATCTTATGATTTCTTTTTTTCTTAACACACTTTATTTACTACTTAGGACTAAATACATTTATAAGCAAATTACTCTCTTGCTTTTCTAATCTCATTATTTCCCAAAGAATATTCTTAAAAAAGAAGTTGTCCATAAACATCCATGTTGGGAAATAACTTTCTCCTCTTCATAGTCTGCACCTCAACTAATTTCATGAGGTACACGTTAACTCCCGTTAGCACAGATATTAGATAACTTTATCTATCAAAGCTTGGCAAATACAAATAAATCACCTAGTGTTTTTGCACATGAGACCTAATAGTTCGCATTGACAGCTAAGTCACACCCTCGAGTGCAAACAAATAATCCCATGAAACAAAGAACAACCCATATAGGTGCATGGAAGTTCAAAACTATGACACATTTTGCACAGCAGCACCATGTAAATATGTTGCATTTTGTATCTATTTACCATTTGTCCCAAGGCTTTCACATGAAGATGGAATGTTCATAACTAACCTCAAAGTGGTATTCCTGATAGTAGTGATTATCTATGTTTGCTCAGACTCTCCAAACATGTCTTGCACCCGTCTCGGATGCACTACTTTTGGAAGATTTGACATGCACGTGTCGACATTTTTGAAGGGTCCGAGAAACATATGACCGATTTATAACATCAGCAGCAGCAACAGGAACAGGATATGATATTACACTTTGGTGCCCTCCTTGACAACATAAATGATTTGCATCTCTTCTCCATTAATAGAGCATTGTGACCTCTGGATAAGACTTTCTGCCACAAAAATCAAATGTACTGGTGAGAGTGGATCTCCCTGTACATTCAACTAATACTGCTGGTTAGGAGAATTCAGCACAACTGTTTGATAGTAAACGCCTCATCGAATGTGGCTTTAGTAGAGGCATACAAAACAAAACCTCAATGTCAGACTATATTTGTCACATCATGTTTCCTCACAAGAACAACTAGATGATGTACTTACAAAAGGGATATCAATATCAACAACTAGAGTGCTTGTTATGTTATGATAGAGGAAACATATACAAAGAAGCACTAGATAAGATGCAATCACATTTGCATAAATAACTTAACTAAACTGATTGTCTTAGGGGGGGGGGGGGGGCTTTTATAGGATAATCTTTGTGAAATTAAATACAGTGTAAGGAATAAAGACACAGCAGATTTCTATAAAATTCAAAGATGGCAAACACTATATAATCACTTAGAACAGGACTCCATAAAGAAAGACTCTTCACAAGCTAGAACTTACAAAGTCCTGTTAGTCTATGTTGCTCAAACTCTTCAAAAATGCCACTGGGTGCATGTCAAATCCTTCAAAAGTAGTCCATTTTTGGATTTTTGGAGAATCCAACATGGGTGCGTCAGCATTTTTGGAGAGCCCAAGCAACATTGCTATAAGTAATACCTTAGCATCTCTATCTTGACTGCTGAATCTGAAGTCAAATTTCAAGCCATTCACCTGCAGGAATCCACAGGAAAACCAAGATCTAGGCAACAAAAAGCCCCAAAAGTCTTAGCAATCAAGAAGCTGTAAAGATTTCAAAACTATGTAAAAGAGGAGAGCAAGTCAAATTCTTGTCAACTTTATACCAGTTAATCATTGAGATGATGGATCTATATGTCTAGAAATTCTAGTTGGACATAGAGATGTTTTGACTACAAATACATTCTCCTTATTGACAATAATACTTACAGATCCAGATATTGTAACAATAGTAAATGCAATTGCCAGGAACCTAAGACTACACTCCACGGTTGATGAATGATAAATCGTAAGTGTTTATTGGCAAGAAAGTGTGTAAAACTACTCTAATTCACTAGAGGAAGTACTTCATTGCATTATTAAAAGTCAGCTGGGAATAGTAACAAGAACCCTACAACATCTGGAAGTCAGGGTATGCAAACGGCAAAGAGACAGCAGAAAGAAATTGAACATTCCAAGACCTTTTGCATAAGCAATTAACAAGGAAATTTCCGAAGCATGCTAGGATACAAATAGTTATGCAAAACAGGCATCAGAAAATTTGCTATTTTCATATTAATATTTACACACAAAAAAAAAAAAAATAGAAGTACATTAAAATTACAATTTTAGAAGGAGAGCATCCCACGGAAATACATTGAACAGCCAATTCTACTAAATAGCAAGAAATGTTGTTAGCATAGATTTTCAGTTTCCATACAGTGAAATGCATGGGCAAAGAGAAAAAGATCACAACTCACATTGATAATCAATACAAGAAATCATGAGTATTGATTCTAAGATATAGAAGGTACTTCAATATCCTCTCTTCCAGATAGAAGATGCAGCTCGTCAGACCATAGAAGAGGTCTGTGTTTCACACACAACATATTTTACATCGCAGCCTTAGAGGCAGTGCAAGTCAATTTTTAAAATCACTTAGGATCTAACTTTAGCAAGACGTGCCCTTAGTTCTTCTAAATCCTCCTCGTCATCCTGCAAGAAATAACAAATCAATCGTTAATCAATTTAATTTGCTTGATCATAGAAAGGATCGTTCTATACAATAAATCACAGATGAAAGGACATACCTCTGCATCCTCCACTGCCTGGGCGGGTTGCTTTAGCTTCTCCTTTCGGACTGCTTCAGGTAGTTGTGCAGTGGTTTCACCAGCAATTGCAGTCAAGACCTTGTCAACTTCTTCTTCAATTTCCTCTTCCATGTCTTCTGAATCCAGGGCACTGTCCACCGCATCATTGACCATTTCTTCCATGACACCAGCCTGCAATAACAAGAGAAAGGGTAATTTCCAGATAAAAAAGTGTGTGTGTGTGTGTGTGAGAAAGAGAGAGAGAGAGAAAAAGAGGGAGGGGGGATGACGTGACAAACCACAGACTCCCTTTTTGGTCCATTCTACAGTGAAAACGGTGTTGTTGATGGTGGCAATGGTGGTTGAGGGGGGGTGGCTCTACTGGTGGAAGAAGCAGTGGAAGGAATGAAGTAAAATGGGTTGGGGGGTGATGCGGAATGCCAAGTTATGTCCACATCACCAAATTGATCCTTTTCGCATAGAAGAGGGTAAAATTGATCCTTTTAACATAGAAGAGGAGCAAATTTAACCTTTTTCCCATTAACTTTTGTATCTATATGCACACATAGAGATGCCCATAGGCCACCCTTCCCCCTCCTGCCTCCTCCCAAAAACACTTTAGGGCCATCCTAGGAGCTATAGGGTCAATGTCTCAATTTGTGTTTATGTGACAAATTTTTGGAGAATTGTGATAGAAGTATTTTTGTGTTACTTGATTATTTTCAGTACTAGGTCATAGAAATAAAATCAATTCCCATAAGATATTCCCACAAAAGTCCTTAAAAATCATGATACGGCATGTGAGGACTTACGTGGGGCAGGATTTCTTCATATTTTTTAGCTAAACTAATTGAGATCAACATTCATCCTTTTTAGAAGCTCACTCTTTTATCTTTAATTTTTATTTTATAACTCAAATACATTGATCAACACTTCTATGTGATTTTTTAAAATTGTGTACTCAGTGCTGCAAGCTGGCTCATACACCACCGTTAAAAAAAAAAATGTATACTCATTGATGTGGGGTACACGCGCAATGCTCATACCTCTAGACTAGTTATGGAAGAATTTGAAGAGTCCAAAGCACTGCTAACTCAATAAAAAACCAAGAGCGTCCAAGGATTACAGATCAAGAAGCTTAACGAATTTTAGATACAACTAGAAGGGGTATTCAGCAAGTCACTCAAAGATTCATGCAAAGAATACCATATTTGGAAGCTTGAGGATTGTGTTGAACAACTCGGAGAAAAAACAAGCTGGTAAATAGTGCACAACGTGCTGCGTTGGACATAGATGCAACAAGATGGGGAGGCTTCTGAGGCAATGCAACACACTGGGACACAAGAATCAGAAAATGCTAGCAACATCAACACAGCGCGAGCGCTTGGCTTGAGACTTTGGCACAACACACCGTGCTGGCCCGCCAGAAGGAAAGAAATTTTGTGGGCAACTTTTATTATCTCATGCCTAGTTATTAACTATATATGTGGTCAAACTTCTATATAGTAATTTTTAGCATACCTTGAGACTGAAAAACATTTTTGTAAGGTTGGAAACCTTGTTGCCCAGCTTGAACTTCAGAATTACTTTTAAGATATAGTAAAGTGCAGAAGAGAGCCATAGCAACATCTAACATAATACACTATTTAAGAGTCCTAATCAAACTGGTTAAAAGGTGATTTCCCAACCAGGAGGAAAGCTCAGGAATTTCATTGAAGCTCAAAAAGCTAAAACCAAACTGATATACCTTGGTCATTTCTTTACTAAACTCCTGCATTGTCATAGCCACTTCTGGAGCCTTCATAAGATTATTGACGAGCTTCATGACTTCAGCACTCTTAGACAAATGTCCCACTGTGCGAGCAATGGCTGCAAAAGCAATTAGAAGTTCAATGGGACACTTGAAGAAGCCAACACATAACCTAACATTAAAGTAGAAAGCAAGAGGCCGGCTTCATTATTTTCCTAGACAGAAAAAATCAAAGCTACATAGGTCTTCTGTATAAAGCAGTTGACATGCCAACATGCTATCAAATATTTCAAAATATAAGACAATCTAGCACCAACTTAATATACATATGCAATAACTTGTTTACTAAGAATCTGTTACAGCATATAGCAAACAAAATCAATTCTGGAATAAATTGATTATATGGTAGTAGGAAGAAAAAAGTTCTCCTATCAGACATGAAAAGATGATTGCAATTTTTCATGGAGTTCAGATATAGAAAATAAAGTTGGTTTCCCATAAACTTAACAAATCAATAGGGGCTAAAAGTTCATAACTAATTGATCATTAAAAACTGTTTATAGGCAAAAGATGCTTTTTTCAGAATACGCATTTTCTAAGAATAAGGGGCATACATCAGTTCTACAACTACAGTAGACTGTATTAACGAAAGAAGAAATTCTCCTATATGAAAAAATAAGAATGATTCCTTTTCGTTTTTCTTTTGGAATTTCTCGCCAATCAGTACAACCAACTACTAGACTGAACACATGATCCAGTTCCACTTAAGATCAAGATTGGTACAGTCACCATCCATCATGGAAGTCAAGGTAATGGCAGCTCATGTTAATTTTGATAACCATGGCGTCCAGGCCAGCTTGCATGCACCTCGACTAATTGCATGGGATATTTGCTAGCTCCCACCAGCAGCAACAGGTACTGGACAAGGCTTAGACAGATGGGAAGAAATCACCTAGTGTTTTTTATTCCGCAGGGATTTGAACTTGAGACGTCATGTTTCTCCTCCTACTTCATTGATCACTAGGACACACTTGGGTGATACCTTATTATTATTAGGAAGAGGTTCCTTTACAAGTTCAGATATCAATGTCTTTGGGACAGCCAGTCATATGTAGAATGTTCCTACTATTTCACAGAATCAAATCAACAGAAAGAATTGTATTGCTTCCAGGGATTATCTCAGTTGGCAAAGGCTGAGGCACTTGTATCTTAGCTTACAAGTTTGAACCTTGCGCCAAGCGAACTAAGTTCAGTATTTGAGTGGAGAAGAGTAGAGGGGTGCCCCATCATCCTGAATTCCATAGGCTGCGGTTGGCCCAAAGGGTTGCTCCCTTCGGATTTTTCGGTCATAAAAAACGCAGAATTTTGTCAGTTTCACCACAATAACATCCAGTTGACCAGCATAAAGTGATAACTTTCACCTCTTATTAAAGAAATCGAAATCATAAAGAAAAATATGCAATCCTACTTCTGCATTTTGAACGTCTATATAATTACACATACATTATGCCTCTTCAAAGTTCAAACTACCTATTCAACAATTGAACAAAATCAGTAAGACATTTGATGTGAGTTGTGACTTGTATATGATGACACTCTTGAAACTCCCTTAAATAAGACATTGCATTTGCAAGCCAGCAACTGAAACATTGGCCAAGAAAGAGAACTTTTAAAATTGCTCATTATTCAACATGAGATGATATCCCTTCATCCCTGTCAAGAAGTAATGGTGCTACGTTCTCAATGGATGCATATTGTTCTAAAGACTGTTTGCTCATCCACAAGAACATAGGGGACCAAAGGCAGACTCCTGAATATACAACGACATATACATATATACAACAGGAGAAGCAAGACTTTGATCATACCAACACTTTCCCCAAGGTGCATGGATATTGAATTCAACTGCGCCTTATTCTCGTATAATCGGTTCACAGTTTTTTTAGATCTCACAATCTCTTTAGCAAGTGCCTATGACAAAAACATCAACACTCCGATATGAATAAGCAATGGGATGCCAAAAACCAATAAATCATGTCTCGTAACAATGTATAGTATCAGACTGAATGCAATATACACACTTGAAGAAAATCTTGGATGAGTACTAACCTAACTATTAAAATAGGCATTTCTTAGAAGTTTGTGAAAAAGCATATTGGTTTCTAAACCACCTGAAACTCTATCAATGACCCAAAATAGATGTTCTTATACGCCAAGTGTTATATGCAAAACATCTCAATGGTCAAGCACACTGTGACAGATGAAGAAAGTGCCTTTAAAGCAGCGCATTCATCCTTCCTCTCTTTCTCATTTCGCCAACATTTAAAAGACAAGACATGGGACATGGGACATGGGACATGGGAAGTAACTCCACTTGCATTGATGTGGATCATTTAGAGGAGAGGAATAGGAGAGCATTTCATGAAGTAGTAAATGGCGTTGTACCCTAGTGGAATAGTTCTTTGTTTTAGTTTTGGTATGCCTATGTGGTCCCTATTGGTGTAGAAGATTGGATGCAACTTGTAGAGAACCATATTGTTGTGTAGGTTCTCTACATTTTCTGGTTTACTTCTTGTATACAGGAGATAGCTCTAATTTAATGAAATTGCCTGGTCTGAAATAACAAATTTTCAAACATCAAGTTCGGTCTATTGACTATCTCTCAGTTTAACAGTGTTATAGACCGAGATTTTAAGCATGACAGGGAGAGGGGGGTAGGTAAAGCAATTAAAAACCTTTTTTATTGATCTCAGAGGTCCTTTAGCAAATGCCTAAGATCTAAAATATGAACAAGCAACTATGAGAAAATAACACATATTGGAAGTTAATAATTTCCAACATATTCTACATACTAAGAAAACTTTCCAATATCATCTCGCAATTGTTAGAAGGCATGAGAATAACATATTGAACCTAATAACTAGTATAATAAACAAGACCAATAAGCCATGAGCACAAGTTTGCAAGAAGCCAGAGCGAAAAAAGCGGGATAAAAAGTAGAAGCAACTTAAAGATCCATAATTTAGGTAATTTAATCACATCAATGATCTAACTATAAGAAAACATCAATATTCTTCTTCTCCTAGCTCCAAAGTGGCACAATTTCTATGAACTTACTTTGGACCTATGTTGCTCGAACTCATAAAAACTGTTGACAGGTGTGCGTTGGATACTCCAAAATCATGCATTTTGGAGAGTCCGAGCAACATAGCTTTAAATTATTTTTCAGTGTATAGCCTTTGAAGAGTAAGATTATAAGCATCAGCAGGCAACAAAAAAGCAGTCATCACCACCAAAAACTAAAAATGTGATTGGTTTTTCAATCTAAGAAGTTCAACTACAACAACATATCCAATATAATCCATGAGTGGGGTATGGCTACCTTTGTAGGATAGAGAGGTTGTTTCTAATAGACTCTTGGCTCAAAAAAGTGATCAAAGAATGATACAAAGGAAAATAACTACAGCAAAATAGCAAGATAAACAATCTACAAGGAGCAGTTAGTCACCTTGGCAGAACCCATATCATTTCTCTTTGCTGCTTCTTTAATTGCTTTCTGTACATTCTTCTCCTCCCTTTGTATATCTAATCAAAATCCAAAAAATTCACAAAACCCAAAATAGAACAACTCAAAAAACCAACAACATACACACTGTAGTCCCACAAAGTGGTGTCTCGGGAAGGGTAGAGTGTACTCAAACCTTACCCCTACCTCAAATGTACAGAGGCTATTTCCGATACACCCTCAGCTCAAAGAGAAATCCACAAACCCCAAAACAAAAAATATTCAAAAAACCCAACATAAAAAATTAAAATTTTACAATAACCCAAAAACCCCATTTCCTTCCTGACTACAAACAATTAAACAGAAGGATAATTTACCTCGAATTTGACGTTCAATATTCCGACACTCTTGCCGTAGCCGACGTTGCCAATCCCTCAAAATCTGTTGAGGATTCGGTTTTGGCTTCAATATATTCATTACTTTCTCCATTTTCTGAAAAACCCCTTTGAATCAGAAAGCTCCCAGAAATCGATGAACCCTTCAATGGAAGATCAAAACAAGAATTTTTCGCTATCGCGAATTTTAATTATTTTCTGATCCAAAAAGAATATTATTTTTTTTCCAATTAATTCTACCGTAGATTCGAAGAATAAAAGTGGGAAATAAATATTTTTTTAAATAGGTGACATTTTTTTCTCTTTCAGCCGGTGGACGGAAAAAGTCGAAGTCGCCGCCGTCCGGTGGCTGATTTCCGTTTTTTTTATAGTTGGAGGATTCTAACTTTTTACTTTTGTACTATTTGATACTTGAACTTCTATTATATGATTCACTTTGTGGTAATTATAAGGGTTATTAGCACTTTTAGTCCTTTGATTAGGTAAATTTTGATTTTAATCTATGTGATATTTGATTAGATATGTTTATTTTTTATGTGAGTGAAATATGCATTTTTTATTCAAGTTGGTGAAGAAATTACCAATATGATTTAAGTCCCAAATGGAAACATTCTTGAACATGTTGTGATGAGAGATGGTTCCTATTTGTAGTAATATTCTCCCTCATTTTTGTTATTTGAACTGAGATCTATTGAAAATTAATTTTATCTTTTAAGATAGAGATAAGATCTACATATACATTATCCTCTTTCGATTTTATTTATGAGATTACACGAGATTTATTATTATTGTTGTTATCTCATACACATTATAATGGTATTTCAATTCACTAAGTTATGACTTCCTCATATATTGCTAGTTGCTACTAGTCCTTCAAAAAAAAATCTTTGGAAGTAATATTGTAAAATTGTAAGCGAAAATTATGCGGATAAGCAAATATATACTAGTTAATTAGCTAATATAACTCTAGTTTGAATTAATTACGATTCGCAGTTTAATTTTGGCTGTAATTATGTGTTTCTCTCTCCTCTACTCCTCTCTCTCACCTCTCTCGTCGCTAATACAAATACAAATTATACATATACATATATAATTATATGACAGATATACAAATGCAATCGTCTTTTACCACTCTCTATGTCATCTCGCTCTCCTCTCTCCTCCCTCTCTCAATCTTGCTCATCAAATATACAATACATATGTATATCATTTACATATATACAATTATGTGACAGATATATATATACAATTCGACAGATATACATATACAATCCGCTTCTCTCCACCCTCTACACTCTCTCGCTTGCCTCTCTCCTCCCTCTAACATGTAGCTATGAATCTTAATTAACAAACTATAGCTATGGAGCCTAATTAAAAATTATTTTAGTGGCTATTTGTGAAGTTTCCCAAATTGTAATCAACAAGCTTGTAGATAAGAGCCCAATAACTTCCTTTTTTAAAAGCCCAATAACTTCTTTCTAAAAGCCCAATAACTTGAAAACAATTTGAAAGAAAACATATCATATATACACTAACAGCCATGCATATTACATACATACAGTTATATATGCATTGCATGAATACATATATTAGTAGTGAGGTAGAGAAATTATTTTCGATAGACCCCTAACTAAAGATAAATTGTGTTTACTAACATATTTACTAGAAATTCATGAACAAAATTATGATGAAATACTGAAGAAAGAAAAATGGAGTATTAACACTAGCTAGAAATATATAGTGTTGATAACCAAAGTAAAAGTAATAACTATAATAACAAAATTGAGGAATAAACCAATGGTAGCATATAGCATGTTAATAATAATAGTGATAAGGGAGCAATAGTTGCTTCAACTAGGACTATACTTTTCCAATTTTATTTTTTTTTGTTTATAACCTCTCATTGTCAATCTCTCGCACTACCTTACTAAGTCATTTGAGCTCCTCCTTTTTTACATACACCAAACCATATCAACCTCGATTTCCACATGTTGCCCTCCTCCTCCTCTTTTACATACCTTAATGATCTCAATCTCGCGTCCGGTATGTTGTCCTCCACATGAGAGACTACATCGTACTTTATCTTGTTCAATTTTGATTTAATTTCTCCTAGTTATGGTATACTCACACATTCATCTAAACATTCTCATGTATGCTACCTTCGTCTTATATTATCATGAACGTGAGATTACTTCTTGACTTACCACACTCTATCCCGTACAGCATAATCGATCTACTACTCTAAACACTAAAATTTCTAGGACCATTTCAACATATATCCCACCCTCTCCAATCATATCCCTTCTACCTTCTTCCAACATTTTTTAGTAAAGAAAATCTAAGAGAAAGACAAAAATGTAAACTAAGATAACTTATCCAATTATTAAATTTTAGTTGGTTAGAACTTAGAGCATCACTCATTTTGCTTTTTTTGTTTTGTTCTTTCTTGACCTCCCATTTGGAATCTCTTTATATTGAAAAAAACAAACAATTGGATCTGTTTATAAAAAATCTCAACTGAAAATTTTAAAACAATTATTTATTATATATTTTATCTTATCCCCTTTTTCAGCCAAAAAAAATGAAAGAAGGAAGAATTTTCCCCTCAGCAACTTTATTCAACTTCCAATTAATTTCATCTATTTATTAATTATTATATATTTGAAAAAAGGTCAAATGATGTTTTTCCAAGTTATTGAATTATTAGTACTACATATTTTTCTATGCATGGGGCCTTGCTATATAACGTAACGTTCAACATCTAATTCAAAAACGCAAATTGGAAAATAACAATATTATTTGGCCATTGAATTCAATGGTATTATGGGCAAGTGCACATAGCTGATTTTAAGACGATTATTTATGCAAGCAAACTTTTGATTAGGGGTGTTCGCAGGTCGGTTTAGATTGGTTTTTGGTCAAAATCAAAACCAAATCAACTCGGTTTTAAAATTATTAAAACCAAACCAAACCAAATATAATATACATTTATCAGTTTGGTGGTTATCAGTTTCGATTTGATTTGGTTCGGTTATTCGGTTATTAACCATATACAAAAATAAAAGAAACAATTCATTCAAAATGTGAAAAAGTGATAACAATCCATTCAAAACGAAAAATAGTTAGAATGACTTAAATTACTGAACTTTCGATCACTAAATTTACTATCAATAAAGCTTTAAAATTCACTATATTGGCCTAGAATGAAGAGACAATAATATTTTCAGTCCCACAAAGAATTATCATATAGACACTCATATACATGAAATCAATAAGATAAATGTTTTCATTTTGGGCATTTTTGCTTTCAATAAGTAAATTATAATGAAAATATATATAAGATCTTTAAAATTGTTTATAAAAACAATATATTAAGTATGTATATTAATAAAATATATGTATATTATTCATCGGTTCGGTTCGGTTATTTTCTTTGGTTTTTTCGAATAAAACCATAACCAAACCAAATACTATCGGTTTTCAAAAATCTAAAACCAAACCAAACTCAAATAAAATCGATCATATTTTATCGGTTTGGTTCGATTTTTCGGTTTGGATCGATTTATATCCAAACCGCGAACACCCCTACTTCTGATATATAAATTTTGAAAATAAAATCATTCCCTTATATATAAAGTTTAACATATTGATTGGTCAAATAAACTTTTAATATTTTTGCCTTTGTTTATATAGCTTAAATGGTAAGGTAATATTGGCTATGGGTGCAATTAATGCCCTAATACCATGTTAAGCAATTAAGATATATAATTATTTGTAAATTGTAATTGTTTGATTAGAATATGCAAATTTGTCGTTTATATTTAACTAAATTAATAGTAATATATTAAGTCCAATCACAATATTATTCTTGTTGTCTCATCACAATTTATAAAAATGTTAGGAAGGCCCACACATGTCATATATAATTTTGTCTTTTTTTTGCTTATAGGAACAAATGTAATTAGAGCTTTTATTAGGGATTATTATAAGCATACTTGGTGAATTATTGATTTGTGATATCTTATATTTGAAATATTTTTTTTTGGTTAAATAATTTCTTTGTAGTTGTTTTGAAACAATTAAAAGATTCTCTAGAAAGAAATATATATTTGTTCATGATTATGGTTTAAACAGAAATGAGTTGATTTTGTTGGAAAATTCAAATTACAATAACAAATTTAGTTTTTAATTATGTGTAACGATCGGGTTTCGTCGTTATAGAAAAGTCAACGGGAAAAAAATTTGGGTTGGAAAACTTTTTCGTAGTAACTTGGAATTTCCCAACCTAGTCCAGATTTGGACGAAATCGGAGTCTTTGAGGTGTATGGAAATGTGGTAACAATCGGGTGAATTATTTATGACTTTGATTACATGAGTAGTTAGATAAGTCGTTAAGGAATCCGTATGACTTTACGAAATTCAATTCGGGTGAGTAGAACTCCCAAAATCGATCTTAGCGTGAATAGTATTTTCTGAGCGTCGTTGGTTAAAGGTGTGTTGTGAAATGGGGGTCTTGGAATTATTAAAATAGCTCACTGTTTCATGCAAGCTGTTTTGGCCGTGGTTTTGGTCGCTTTGGCGGTGCCGCTGTAGCGGGGTGAGGGCCGCTATGGCGGGCCAGACGCGACTTAAAGTCGTAAATAAACCCCAAAATGACTTTATTCTACACTTTTCGACTTTGAGAGCTAGGAGACGACCCCATACGAGTTCTTGACCCTTTTTCACCATTTTTGTGGCTAAAGGTAAGATTTTAACTCTCCGAATTCATTTTTTCGATCCGTAAAACATAATCTAATGGGTAAATATCGATGGGAAGGGGGGGTTCTGATCTAGAATTTATGGTGGAAACAACCCGAATTGGGATAATTGGGATCATGGGTATGATCTAGGGTTGTTAGAATTGTTAGTAATCCGGGTAATTAGTGATTGTTTATTGATTCCCGTATTAGATTGATTGTTTGTAGACCAAGAACAAGCAGAACGAATTCGAAAAGAGAAGGATCAAGTTTTTTAGGGTTTCAAGCTTGTTTCGAGGTAGGTTATAGTTGTGATTTTATGATGGTGTGATGTATGTGTGTTCTTGCTTCATTATGATACTTGTATGTATGTGAATGTTGCATTATTGATCACGCTTGTTGTAAATGAGATAGAGGAATGATGAATGTCATGAAATCATGACTTAATTGTATGATCTTGAGGATATACTTATGATTGTGATTGTGGTGTGTTGAATGGATCGGTTGCCACGTTCCGGCATAGTTAACTTGGATCGGTTGCCATGTTCCAGCATAATTATGGGATCGATTGTCATGT